GTTACACCGGGAAGGAAGAGGAAAGAGAGACACAGAAAGGGGTTAAAGAATTCAAAAGACTGCGGGGGAACTTGGAAAAAAAAATCCCAGACTCTAAATCCTCCCAAAACTCTGCCACCTTCAGACCTGGCCTGGGCAAAGTGGGTTCTGGGGCAACAGAGGGGGAAACAAGTCTGAGCAAGTCCCCATCTCCGTTTCCTCTACCCACTCCAGATCCGTAGAGGTTAAAAGGCAATCAAAGCTCATTTCCCCAATTAAACGTGAGTTGTGAACGGTTTTTAAGTGTCCCTGTAATTTGTCGGGAAGGGCACATGCCTCCCGTCGGTTGAACTGTGTTTTAACCTGGGCAGTTGAGGGATAAGTCTGCTTTATTGATGGATGCCCCCCTCCGCCCAGGCTCCTGCGCCACCTCTGGGCGCAGCAAGCAGAATTTTCCCCGGGATTCCTGCAAACTTCACCGGCCCTTCAAGCATCGGCTTGGTGTTTCTTTAAAATACGCACATTTAATAGTACGCAGTACACTAAAACAGCCAAGCCCTAACAGCCAGGAGAGGGGAGAAAATGCCTCCCCTCCGCACACCCCCCGCTGCCGAAACCAGGGCAACTTGTGCGGGTTTGGGTTTCTGCATGGTTGCGGCTCCCTGGGCCCGGCTGTGGGAGCATCTGGTTGCCGCGTTGACAATATCGCCCGGATAAACAGGCTGCCATCGATCTTTTCATTAGGTGATCAAGTCAGGAACGGGGCAGGTGAAGGAGAGGGACACGGCGAGGGATGCTCGCAAGTCCCCACCCTGGCGTCCTGCCGCTCCAAGCTGTGCTCTGCGAGGGCGTGTGGTTGGTGCCCGAGGTCCCGACTGGGTCAGCGCTGAGAAACACGCGTTGTCTGAGCGGAATGGGGGGGGGGGGGGGGGGTGTGGGGGGTGTGTGGAATGTGTGGAAATACTGGAATAGGTTTCTATAGGGCGAGGCTGTAAAGGGGAGAGGTTCTGTTCTAGACAAAATGAGGGCGAAGCGCGTCTCCCTCCGCCCAAATTACGGGATGTCCAAATAACATGAGGTGCCGGGAGGATGCTGGGGGAGGGGGGAGGGAGGTGTTGGGGAAGGTCTCCCCGCAAAGTGCCGCGGTCCTGGTCCCCTCCCTCTGCTCCCAAACCCCGAGGAGGGACGCGTCGACTTGCCTGGAGTGGCCGTGGGGCCGGGGCCGGCTGCGGGGAGCCCGGTCCGAGGGGAGCCCGGTGCGGCGACTGGGTCCGTCCACCTCCTCGCAGGGTTTCTGTCTCTGTCTGCCTGTGTCTCTGTCTCTGTCTCTCTCTCTCTCTCTCCCCCTCTCTCTCCGTGCCTTGCTCTGCCTCTTTTGCTCTGTTTCTTCACAGTCTGGGGAGTAAAATCTAGATGATATACATACCGAGCTTGCTTTTTTGTCCGATTTAATCTTATTCGTTTCACCTTTTCACTGACCAAGAGACAGGACCGGGAGTTTATTTGGAAAGAGGGGGAGAGAGGAAAGGAGCCTACTGTTGCATAGTCAATAACATCCTTTTTATCAATGCAATATACAATAGGGACGGCTTGGCCAACGGACTCATTGAAAATCTCTTCATTATTTCGGGACAAAATCAAGCGTTTTTTTCTGATCTCAGAAATGATGAAGGATTCTCCTCTCCAGCCGGCTCCCAGCCTCAGATTTCACAGCTGACAGTGAAAGAAGGGGAAAAAATAAAAAAAAAAAAAAAAAAAGTGATCACCATACATGAAGTTGAGAGCTTTTTCTTCTCTTTTCTTTTTTGTTTTTTTTTTTTTCCTAGTTCTGATGGAAGCAACGTCTCTTTACAAAAAAAAAAAAAAAAGTAACAATAAAACTTCTGACATATATTTTACCCCTTCCCCCCCCCCCCCCCCCCCCGCAGGTTTTTTTTCTCTCAGCTTCCCCTCTGATGATAAATTTTTATTGGGAGCTGAGGGGAGGGTTTCGTGTGGAGTGGGGGGGGGGATATTTTATTTTCTTTATAATCTTATAGTTTGTTTCTCCTTTGTCACACAGACCCAACATTTCAGACCTCTGGCCGAAGGGGGCTGCTGCTGGAAAGGCAGGCTTGAGAGGAAGGAGGGACAAGGATGGGAATGAAGGGTCTTCTTCGCTCCAGTGAGGGTTTATATTAAAAATAAAGAAGGAGAAAGGTTAAAAAATATATATATACATTATTTCTTAAGAAGGCGTGTGTGACAGGCCGCAGACAGGTTTGGCGTCCCCCTCGTTCTCCCCCGAGCTCCCCTGGGCCGAGGGCTCGGTGCCCACTAGATGGCAGCCGGCGCCAGTGATTCCCTCTCCGCTCCTTTCTGCTCCGCGCCGCCGCCGCTGGAGCCGCGGAGGAGAGCGGAGAGGGGGGAGCCCTCGCATCTCCGACATACGGAGCAACTCGCTTTTGGGGAGACAGGGCAGTGGGGAGGGAGACCTCCGGGTAGGGGGCATTGCACAGAGGGCGGTTTGTGCTCTGATAGCTCACACACATCCCGAAATAATTGAATTAAAGGGGGTGGGGGGATCCCACGAGGGAAGAGCGGAGCCCGGGGTGGGGGGGGAGAGATCGGGAGGAGGGTGGGCATATCGAGAGAGGGGACAAAAAATAGCACAAAGTGGAATGGGAGCATGTGGAGATGTGGATATGAGTGTGAGGATGAGTGTGCAAGTGCTCGGGCAAACGCAGGCCTGACCCTCCGTGCAGCCGGAGTGTTTTCTATTCCATCATTAAAACCCCTGTCGCGGCTTTGGTGATTGAGAGGTGAAGGAGGAATCGCGATTTCAGATGGGTGGGAGGAGGGAAAGGAAGAGAGATAGAAAAAGGAAATAAAAACAGAGGAAAAAAGAAAAAGGGGGGAAGAATAAAACAAGAGGGGGGGAGCCCACTAACTTTTCCCTGGAAGCCCACATCGTCCCCTTTTAATTCCCCTTTTCCGCCTATCGCAACGCATCCTCCTCTGTCGATGTATGTGCTGATGCGAGGGGGGGTGGGTCTTGAAAAGAGAGGGAGGAAGAGACCGTAGACGACCCATACTAATCAGGTCTCAAAGTAAATAGCAGCGCAGGGCGATCGCAATGTAAATTGCGCTTGTCAGAAGAATCCCCTCTCTCTCCCCCCCTCCCTCCCTCCCTCCCTCGTTCCCCCCCCCCCCTTCCCCTCCCTTCCCCATCCCAGTCAGTAGGTAGCCGGAATTTAAATATATATATATATATTATATATATAATGTATATAAAAGGGGGGGAGAAAAAGGGGGGGCGAGCGCTGGGGGGGGGGCAACCAATGGAGCGCGGGAGGCTTGGCTAACCTTAGCTTCCCACTCCCCCCCCCCTCCCCAATTCAGGGCTCTGACCAGTCAGTCGCCTTTGATTATCAGTTGCCAGCAGCCCTTCTCTTGGCTCCTTGACACGCGCTCCATATAAGGCAGCGATCTCCATAGAAACGTGTCAGTTTCAATAGTAGTGTCAAAGTTCACTATATACAGACATTTCGAGCAGATCCCCCTTTCGGAAACATTGCTCTGCTAGGCTTTCCGTTTAAACGCATTCATTTTTCGGGTCTCTCTCTCCCTCTCTCTCTCTGTTCCCTCCCCCCCCCCCCCCCCTCCTTGCATATTCTATTAGTTGTGTGCTTCCCCCCTCTCTCTCTCTTCTCCCCCTTCATCTCCCTCTTCTCCTTCCTTTTCTTCTTTTTTCCACCCTTCCTCCTTGTGTCTTTCGCTTCATTCCTGCAGGAGGAGAGAGAGGTGAAACTGAAAAAAAAAAAAAAAGGGCGAGAGAAAAAAAATCTCGGAAAGAAGGAAAAACGGGGATAAAGCAGAGACGGGGAAAAGAGGAGGGAAAAAAAAAGTCCGGAAAGGAGAGAGAGAACGCACACCGTTATTATTTTGACCATTCTTGCCTATTTTTTTATTTTGGGGGAGGGCTTCTCTCGTGGCTGATGAGTTTTTACCCGAAATACTTTTTCCAGGCGAACTAAAAAAAAAAAAAAAAGAACCTTTTGGGGGGTTGATTTCCACCGATTTTTTTTTTTTTTTTTCTCCTTCTTTCTCGCAACCGGCATCGTGCGCTCTCACAGGAGAAGAGAAGAAGGAAGGGGCAAGAAAGAGGAAAAGAAGAGGATTTATTTACCCGACCTACTTTGGATCTCTCTTTTTCCTGCGCGTGTCATTATTATTCCTGTCCTCTATTTTTATACTTCGCCGGGAATTCGTCTCCTCTGCGAATGTAGTCACATCCGATTTTTTTTTTTTGAGAATTTTTTCCTTTTTTTTTTAAAAAAAAAAAAAGGCGAGAGGGAGCTCGAGCGAGCGAGAGAGAGACAGAGAGCGAGGGAGAGCAGCGAGGGAGAGAAAGAGCAGCGACCGGCAACCTCCTCCTCCTCCGCCACCGCCGCCGCCGCCGCGACAGGAGATCAAACTGCTTCAGCTCCCCGCCCGCCTCCACCGCGCTCCCCGGCCCCGCCGCCCTGCATGGCTGACTGCTCCCTGCCCTGGACCTGGCCCCCGGACACCTCTATGCCCTGATTGCCGGCAGACGGCTCCTCTCAGCACCCCCCGCCTCCCCGATCACCGGCAGCGGGAACAGCCTCCGCGGGAGCGGCGGCGGCGGCCGGGCCCCGGCAGCGGCGAGCGGCGAACGGCGACCTCCTCCTCCTCCACCTCCTCCTCCTCCTCCTCTTCCTTCCCCTCCTCCTCCTCCTCCTCCTCCTCCTCCTCGGCGGCGCCGTGGCTTCCTCTATGCCCGCACATCCTCCGCGCTCGTAGCGCCCGGACCGCGTGTGTGCCCGTGTGCGTGTGCTCGAGTGGGGGAGCCCGCCGTGTGCCGGGCGTGTGCGCGCCTGTCTGCCTGCGTGTGCGTGTCCGGCGTCCTACTCCTCTGAATGCCTCTCCCGACAGCCTTGTTTGCCGTTTCTGATTTTGCAACTTGAAGTGGCGGCCGGTGTGGTTGGGGTCTGGGGGGGGGGGTGGGAGGGGGTAGAGAGAGAGGGCGCGGAGAGGCGGCGAGAGCCGCGGAGAGCGGGAGCTGAGCGGGGAAGCGGCCAGGCGGGGGTATTTTAAAGAAGAGGGGAGGGGGGGTGAAAAGCGCAGGAAAGGGCAGGGAAGGAAAGGGAAGGGAGGAAGAGGAAAGGAAGAGTGTGGTTTAAAAAAAAAAAAGAGGGAGAGAGAGAGAGGAAGGAAGGGAGAGAGGGAGAGAATCCTCTGCTGCCCCCTCCCCCTCCCTAAAAAAGAAGAAAAAAAATTAGCTAGACCGAGGGGAGGGGGGCTCCCGGCGAAAAATAAATAAAATAAAGAAAACGGCAGGAGCGGCTCCAGGCGGCAGCGGCAGCAGGGCAGCGACGGCGGCAGCCGAGGCGGAGGCAGGCGGCAGGCAGGGTCCCCTCGCTCCCCGCTCGCCCCCGGCGCCCGGTCTGCCGCCCCCCGCCCGCCCCCTGCCTCCCTCCCCGGCAGCCCGCAGCGAGACGCGCCGCTCCCCAGCACTTTTTTGGGCCCGAGATATGGCAATGGTAGTTAGCAGCTGGCGAGATCCGCAGGAAGACGTGGCCGGGGGCACCCCGAGCGGCCCCAACCCCGCCGCGGCGCAGCCTGCCCGGGATCAGCCGCCCCAGCAGCAGCAAGGCGGGGGCTCGGCAGCCCCGCACACCCCGCAGACCCCCAGCCAGCCGGGACCCCCCTCCACACCGGGCACGGCAGGGGACAAGGGAGCGGGCCAGCAGGGCTCGGGGCAGAGCCAGCAGCACATCGAGTGCGTGGTGTGCGGGGACAAGTCCAGCGGCAAGCACTACGGCCAGTTCACCTGCGAGGGATGCAAAAGTTTCTTCAAGAGGAGCGTCCGCAGGAACTTAACTTACACATGCCGCGCCAACAGGAACTGTCCCATCGACCAGCACCACCGCAACCAGTGCCAGTACTGCCGCCTCAAGAAGTGCCTCAAAGTGGGCATGAGGCGGGAAGGTGAATATTTCTTCCCTACTATGCTCTATCTCGCTCTTTCTCCCTTCCTTCCTTCCTTCCTCACCCCCCCTCAACTGCCCTCCCCTCCACCCGTGGCTGGGCAAGGCGTGCGTGTGCGAGGGGCTCTCTCCGTCTGTGTGTCTGCCTATGCATAAGCGTGCACCGGTATGCATAGGCAGCACATATATGTATTTATACACATACATATATATATATGTGTATATACATATATATGTATACACGCGCGAGCACACGCGCGGCTTGCACACACATACATATATATATAAGCACATATATATATATATTTACGTCTCTCCCTGGCGATCTAGGTCTGTCCCTCTCGCTCCCTCTTCCCATGCACATGTCAATCTCTCCCTGTGCCTGCGCTCCATCTGGCAGCTTTACGCCAGGTTTTGTTGTTATTGTCGATGGTGGTTGGTGGTGTTTTCTTTTGCTTTTCGGTTTGTGCCTCCTGCCCTCCTCCCGCTCCTCCCCCCCCCTTCCCCGGCACCACCGTGCTCGCCCCTTCCCCTCTCATTGTGCCGAGAATTTACTATTATTGCTATTATTGTTTATTAATTATTACTATTAGTATTACGGCCGCTCGCTAAATATTTATCATTCAAGCCGCTATCTCCGCTCCCGAGTATGTGTGCGTGTGTGTGCGTGTGCGTGTGTTTGGATGTGGTTTTGTCTATTGTTGGCAAGAGACCGGGGGGGTGGGGGGAGATACATCTCTCTCCCGTACGAGATGTGCTTCCATTCAGCTTCCTTTCCCCCACAACCACCCCCTTCCGCCCCATCATTTCTTTTTAAACCCGCAACACTTCTCGGTACGATCCATTTTCCCAGCCTCTTTTTTTTTTTTTCTTTTTTTTTCCCCCGAAAGAAAGATGAAAGACGTGTAAGTAGGGAAGAAAAGAGGAAAGGTGGTGAAAAAGAGGAAAGGGGGGGTGGAAAGGGGGAAATGTGCTACTGTATCTCCGCTTCCTTGTGCTTCCCAGTGCCCTGGAGTGTGTTTCTGTGCGAGATTTGGCCTTGTTTTCACTCCATGCGTTCAAAGGAAAGTTTGTGGCTGAACTGGGTTTCTGTACTTCTGTCATTTCTTTTTTCTTTTTTTTTCTTTCTCTTCTTCCTTTTTAGCAAGCTGCTCATTTTATTTCTTCATCAAACTCCACCCTCTCTTTAAAGCCTGCATACAAATCGCGATTTATAACCTATTTGCCGGTTCTTCTCATTTTAGCAGAATCCGCAGCCTGCATCTGGCAGCGGGCTCCTCACCATTTCCAACTGCTCTGCTATTTATTTATTTTATTAATTTTTTTTTTTTTTTTTCCCTCCTCCTCCTTTCCAAGAGCCGCTGTGATTTTCCTCGCTTTCAGGCTCATTCTCGCGTAGGAAGGTTTCCTGCCTTCTTTTTTCTCCTCGAAACGTATTTTCTCGGTTTGCATTTAAAGTTTACCCTGTGACTGTCGTTAAAGATGTCTTAGAGTCACACCAGCGAAACAGTCGATTTTACAGAGCGGAGATTACTACTGCCTTAATTGGTTTTAAAATATATATATTTTGTATGCCACAAGGAAAGGAATGAAGCAGCTCCAGATCTGAAAGAGCTCGCAAATATGACGACTTCATTGGCAGCTTCAGGGGCTGTTGGTAGGCGTCTTGAGGGGGGAGGGAAAAAAAAAAAACAAACAAAAACTGGGGGGGGGGAAGGAAGGAGTAGGAAAAAAACAATCGAAAAAAGGCAAGTTAGAATTGTGCTCTCAGCTAATTGACAAATAACTGCCAAGTTTACAAGGAGGTGGGAGAGGTGGGCTGGAGAGAGGTCCGGCCCGGGAGGCGAGAGGAGGAGGGGTGCTGGGTGGAGGAAGAAAGGAGAAAGTTGAGAAAATGCTGTGGTACGCCGGAAAGATGAGTGATGTGCGTGCGTGTGTGTATGTGTGTGTGTGTGTGCGGGTGTGGGGGAACGAGCCCGAGCAGTCGTGTCTCCTCCTGAAGTTACCTTTGTTTACATGTCATGCGGTTGCACAGGCTGGCACTGATAGAGAAAAACACACGCACACACTGGGAGAAAAAAAAAAAAACAACAAAAACAAAAACAAACCAACTTTGGTCAGCTTTCGGGACCTGAGACATGCTTGCGCTCTGTGTGGAGATGGTTAATGAATCCAGTGTTTCTGCAGTTGCAAGCTTGTGCATTCACTGTGCAACGCTGACTGCAGGCTTTTGCAGTGGCAACAGCGCACCAAAGATATTAATTACACCGTCCCCTTTTTTTTCCACGAATGTTTGGCTATTGTAAGTTCGGACCTTTTTGTTTTATTTCCCCCTTTCCCTTGATAATACTTAATCTCTCTCTTCCTTTTAGCAGGGAGAACTTTGCTGGGCGAGGGAGGGGTGGGGGAGTCTTCTATGGAAAGATGTTTCTGTCTAATAAAGTTAGCAGTGGGGAGGTGGGGGCTGCGACCTGTTCCAGCTTAAATGGTAACGAAGCAGTATTTTTAAAGAATATGGATACGGATGCATTTGTTTTGGTTTGGGGGTTTTTGTGTTTTTTTTTTTTTGTAATTAGTTTTATTTTTATATATGAATTGGTTTGGGTTGATGTTTTTTTTTTTGTTTTTTTTTGGGGTTGGTGTTGGTTTTTTTTTTTCCATTTTAAAAAGCTACACAGATCACTTGTGCTCAGTGCTACCGGGGCAATCGGCTGGGATCCACAGCAGAGCCTGGCTGTATTTTTAACAGCTGGCTGTGATTTTTAACCTCACTTTCTCACTACCCAGAGGAATGATTTTTTTCATTTTATTTCATTTATCTATTTATTCTCTTTTTTCTTTAATTTTTTCTTTCCTTTTTACGTGCGTCGGCTGCCTTTTGTTGCAAGAGGGTTGGGGGGCTCTGGAGGGAGGGGTGTTGTGTGCAGATTTGTCTTGTTTGCCTTGGCTTTTCTTTTTTTTTCCCTTTTAATTTTCGGGGGGTCTTTTCTTTCTTTTTAATCTGTGTTTATTTTGTGAAGCTTGTCTACGCTGGGGAGGGGGGGCTGGTGCTTGGCTGCCGCTGGGCTGGGGCTGCCTGAGCAGGGGTCGGGGCTGGGGCCGATGCCGGGTCGTGTTGTGGGGCTGATGCAGGTCGGCTGCAGCTGCCCGGCTCCGCATGCTTCTGTCTGTCCGTGCCTGTGCGTGTGTCGGGGGTGAGGAAAGGGGGGAAGTACGTGTGTGTACGGGGTGGGTAGAAGCCAGGCATTGTCTCCGGCTGGCTGACAGAACCGCCGGGCAATGCCTGCGATCCTCCTGGATGTACATTTCCTCTCCTTCTCTCCTTCTTTTTGTCAGCGGTTCAGCGAGGAAGGATGCCACCCACCCAGCCCAACCCCGGCCAGTACGCCCTGACCAACGGCGACCCCCTGAACGGGCACTGCTATCTCTCGGGATACATCTCCCTGCTGCTGCGGGCCGAGCCCTATCCCACTTCCCGCTACGGCAGCCAGTGCATGCAACCCAACAACATCATGGGCATCGAGAACATCTGCGAGCTGGCCGCCCGCCTGCTCTTCAGCGCCGTCGAGTGGGCCCGCAACATCCCCTTCTTCCCCGACCTACAGATCACCGATCAGGTAGCTCTGCTGCGGCTCACCTGGAGCGAGCTCTTCGTCCTCAACGCTGCCCAGTGCTCCATGCCCCTCCATGTGGCCCCGCTCCTGGCGGCTGCCGGCCTCCACGCATCCCCTATGTCGGCGGACCGCGTCGTCGCCTTCATGGACCACATCCGCATCTTCCAGGAGCAGGTGGAGAAGCTGAAGGCGCTCCACGTCGACTCGGCCGAGTACAGCTGCCTGAAAGCCATCGTCCTCTTCACCTCAGGTGAGAGGGCTGGCGGGGGGGGCACGCGTGTGTGTGTGAAAAGAAAAAAAAAAAAAAGGAAATTTTTTTTTAAAATTACATTTGTAATTTTGTAAAGAAAAGAGCTTCAAATGCATACGCCCCGGCCCAAGGATCGACCTCCCCCTCAGGCCCACTAGTCATAATAAATATATGTATATATCAAGTATATATATATATAATTTATATATATATATATATATCAAATTAAGTGGAAGCGGTGGAAACATGCATGTTAACAATTTTCCCTCTGTGATAGATGGTTCGAATTAACTAGCGGGGAAGTGCATTAGCGTCGCCTTTGAAGTGTTCTGGTCGTAGCCCATAAGAATATAATAAGTCTTCTATTATTGTAACCTGCGAGGGAGAAATTTATAAACATCAAAGGCGAGAGATGAGGAGGAAATATAAGGAATGGAAACAAGGCGAGATAAGAGGCCTGACTGTCATTTTTTAATTATTATTCTAATTATTGCCACGATGGGGTTAATTGCCGCTTCTTCTGCTTGCTTATTTTTCTTTTTTTTCCCCCCTTTAAATTTTCTCCTTTTTTTTTTTTTAAACCCACCACCCTTTCCACTTCCTCTTCTCTTGTCCTGGTTTCTTCCCCCTTTCCAAACCACTCCTCCCAGTTAGCGATAACTACGCATCTCTGATAAATCTGTCTTAAAACTAGGCCGAGGCTAAATTAAAAGCATTCCTGAACAAAGATGGCAAATCGTTCAAAGGCCTTGTTTAACAGTAAGCAGTTTATAATTCATCAATATTTGTTGCCTTTCATGCATGAGAAATAGTATTTACGTTGTATTAAAATGACTTCTAAATTTGCACAATATTGTAATGTAGCAAATGTAGTATTAATATCGGTTTGAACATCAGATAATTTATTTAGACAGGAGTATCTAATTTGTATGCAGGGTGGTCGGAGACGTGTACTGCGACTGCCCCCTTTTACTTCCAGTGCAAGTGCAGTCTCACAGCATTGGAGGGAATATTTCTTTGCGCAGGATAAAGTGCAGATCTTAAAACAAATGAAAGGTTTAGTGAATGGCCAGCTCGACATTTTAATGTATTTTATCTTTATAAGTCTTCCTGATGGAAACATGTTTTTCAAAAGTGACAAAGAGACCTGCTGGCACTTATCAGGCTGATTTAACTTCTTCATCCTGCCTGCAGACTCTCAGACTTTCCCTTTCCATTGATTTCAGGGTTCCCATCAATACACAGAGGAGGTAGGGGAGAACCCTCCTGGTTTTATTATTACTAGTATTTATTTTTCCTTTTGCCCAGATGCAACCTGGGGACATCCTTCTCAAGCAGAGGGGACCTGGCCTGTGCCTTGGCCCTTCCACCCACCAAAGGCCCAGAGAAGGGGATTGCCCCAGATGGGGACATTTTGGTGGAGATACTGTTTTTTTCTTTTCTCTCCTTCTCTCCTCCCCTTTTCCCGCACTCCAGTGTTCCCCCTTTACCTTCCCCGAACGATTGGCCTTATCTAGAAACCCTAGCTTTAGCGAATCCCTTCATTTATACATGTTAATAATGAATGTCATAACTAAATGTTTGCAACAGGAGAAGCCCCCTCCGAAGGCCGAGCAGAGTGTGAATGGTGTTCAAGGAAAGAAATAATAATATTATTTTGGAGGAGGATGGCACGGGGCATCTCAGAAAATGGAAATACAGCTGTCAGGAATAATCTACCTGTTACCCCCACCTTCACATTTCCACTTTTCACTAAACTTGTTTTGATTGCTTAGCCAGAGGGGGATTCATGGGAAGCCTTTCTCGAAGTCATTCAACTTTTAAACAAACTTTCACTGATGGAAAAGACATTTTTAGGCATATTGTCCAAAGTCCTTCTCTGACAACTAAGTATTTAGAGCTGGCATGGGTTTCTCCTGTTGTGGTTTTAACATTTGGGCTCTGGATAACATGTATTTAATCCGTACAATTTTGGACACCATCCAATGGCTGAGTCATGACCTAAAACCTGCTCCTTTCTTGACTCTTTTTTTTTCTTTTTTTCCTCTTCATTTTTTATTTTTTTTTCTCCCTCCAAAACTTCAGAGTTATTAATTCCTGCTCCTACCTTTTCTTCCACATAAATACACATTTCCAGGAAGGGACAGAGCCAGATAACATAAATCCAATAAATCTACTTGTAACAGAATAGGAACTTTGATTTCTAGTTAGATGCCAGCTGATTACATCTGTATTTTCTGAGCACTAAACTCTTCTGAACATGTAACATGAAATATATTCCCGCCACTACAAAGGGGAAGGCTGGAGTGTGCTGAGCAGTAATGGTTATTTATTTACATAATTTCTATTCCATAGACTGCAGGAGAAAATATACAGCTTTCCCTTATTGACACACTGCCATATAAAAAAGTGAGGCACACACAGGATTTTCACATTAGCCCACTTTATGAGATGGAATAATAATTCACCTCTGGTAAACAGGGATTGTATTATTTCACCCATGGATTGAACCTCTCTGAACTCTATAATCTAATCCACCTGTGCATCCCTTAATTACTATTATTTTTAATCCCATTCTGAGGGGAGAGTTAATACTTCCCACCACCATCTTCAAGGCTGCAGAATAAAAACTGGGTAAAGGCATATGCCAGATCACTTAAAATAATTAAAGGTCCATAGATACTATTGCCATGAGGAAATCCTGAGTGTTTGGAGGTCTAAGTTAAATCCAAGGTATATTTTCTAAACACACCTCCCTTCTCCCAACCTCCCCAGGCTGGTGCCCTTCTAGCCAGCAACTTCCCCATCTGCATTGTCCAGTAACCTGCAATTATAGGTGCATTTATCATAAATATCTGATAAATATTTTACTAACCTTAAGGGTATGACCTACGGGGCATAAAGAAAAAAGCCCTGCTAGGGTGTCAGCAAGACCCTTTCATATTGCATTGTTTGGAAGTTGAATAGGATCCTAATGCATAATGGGCAGATAATGCGTGTAAAATAGCAAGATATATGTAAATACGGAGTGCGATTTGTGACAACCAACATATGAACAGGCCTGTGGTTTTGATATATATCACAAACAGGAACATTTTGCCCGAGCTCTTGATAGATCTATATTTTGCAATCTAGTGCTTTAGATGTTGCAAAATATCATTGCATTAAAGGTATGGATTAATAGAGCAGCCTGGCTCAGATAACTGTATACCTGAGGGATGCCAAGTCCACAGCTCAGGTCAAAGTTTCTCCTCCTCAGAAGTTCCTGAATTACGGCTTGTTTTATTTGTGTCTTTGCTCGAGGCCATAGTATTGTAGATGAAGGTGTTCCGAAATCTTTGTAAAGCTTGTTCTTGGCATGGGAAGACTTCAACTTCAAAAATACAGTTGCCACAGATTTTTTTTTTTTGTTTGTTTGTTTGTTTGTTTGTGGTGGGAGAGAGAACTTTGAATAATTTGCTGTGCCTTTCCAGGGTCATAAATCTACGTTCATGATTTTGTAATGTCTTTTGGGGGGCCATTAACATGCATTAATTCACATATGGATCTATATATTAGCAAAGTCTGGCTTTGATTTGTGTTAAACCACACTGCCAGCAGGCTGCCTCCCTCTGATCCTGATATATTAGGGGGGCTTTTTGTTTGGGTGCTTTTTGCGTAATTTTAAAATATTTGTTATTAATCTCTGAATCAATGTGGATGGTTCCAACCATACGGGCATATCCACCACTTGTCCACGACAGCACATTCCTGCACAAGTCCCCCAGTAAGCAGCCTTTGCACAGTTTATCCCCGGTTTGGGGGTTCACAGATATGGGGCACGCAGTTAACGTGTCAATGCACAAACTCAGCTACAACTCTCTGAGTGTACCTGTGCACACAAGAAGGCGCAGGGTAAGGTGTATCAGGGCAAGCGCATGGATGTGAGGAGGTTTCTGCTCCCGGACTAGGATGCGTTTCTCAGGGTGATATCGTTCTGAGGGGTGCCAAGAGGCGAGTTTCTGGCCCTATACGTGACATAGGGAGCTATCGAGAGTCTCTCAGGCCACGTTTACGCAAGACTCACTCTTGCAGCCCACCCCAGCTTTGTCTTTGAGAGCTTGCAGCAGCCGGTTTAGCGTAAATCCGAACTAACCCACTACCCTTTTTTTCGCCGGATTTATCACGCAGCCTGCAAAGTCGTGACCAATTTGCCATGGCTGGCGGCGGGGCAGAGACGGAGGGGACCCCCTTTCTCCCTGCCCCACCTCTTCTTCGGCGGGCCGGCTCCCTGTCTGCCACTGTAGGTCCCAGCTGCTGCCTTCTCATAATGTGCAGCCGTGTCAACAAACTCCCTCTGCGTGTGCGCGCCTCCGTTTTTCACCTTTATTATTGTTATTTATTATTAATAATTATTACTATTTTCCCCAGTAACCCTCCATTTTCCCCCGCACCCGGTGTTATTTAACGGGGGCTGGTCCTGCTTCCCAGCAGCCCAGTGAAGGGTTCCCTGGGGTCGGGACCGCAGTCGTCTGCGCAGAGCGTCCGTGTGTCTGTCCCTGTCCATGTGTCTGCGTGCCCGATGGGGGCGCAGAAGGGCTGAGGGGTGAGTGGTAGGGGAGCTGGGGGCTGTGTGGGCACCCCACGGCAACCCCCGTGGAGATACGCGCGGGGGCTGCGAGGCGCGGACAGGTCGTCTTGTTTATTCGGCGGCAGTGAGGTCTGATGATGGTAATGGGATGATGATGGGATGGGAATGGGATGGATGGGGGGGTGCGCCTTTGAGGGTGCCCCCCCCATCCGGGCAGTGCTTCCCCGCGCGCTTCCCCGCCACTAACCATCTTTCCCTCCACCCCTTCCTCCTCCTTCCCATCCTCCTCCTCTCCCTCCCGCCGCCGCCGTTCTACGGCTGCCTCCGCGGGCTCGGTGCTACGGGCAGACGCCTGCGGCCTGTCGGATGCTGCGCACATCGAGAGCCTTCAGGAGAAGTCCCAGTGCGCGTTGGAGGAGTATGTGCGGAGCCAGTACCCCAACCAGCCCAGCCGCTTCGGGAAGCTGCTGCTGCGGCTGCCCTCACTGCGCACCGTCTCCTCCTCTGTCATCGAGCAACTCTTCTTCGTCCGCTTGGTAGGTAAAACCCCCATCGAAACCCTCATCAGGGATATGCTACTGTCGGGAAGCAGCTTCAACTGGCCTTACATGTCCATCCAGTGCTCCTAGAGCCCGGCCCGCACCCCCAGGAGAAAAGCGGAGGAGCGGCAGAGGCGGGAGAGCTCGCACCGAGGGGCAGTCGGGGTGCGGGGGGGGCCCGGGAGGCGGACATCGAACAAAAGAAAGGGCCGAGTAGGAGCAGAGGTGTGGCCGTGGCGGGGAAGGACGGGCCTCGCGTCCGTAGAGGTCGTGGTGTTTCGCTTTTTTATTTTTGGTCTTTTTCTTTTTTTCGGAAAGGAGGACAAAAAAAAACATAAATAATAATAAAAGAGATGAAAAAAAGGCAAAAAAAAATTAAAAATAAAGTCAAAACAACAAAAAAATGAGTATTGAGGGGATATTAATCACACCTGAAGGGGATACTGGATTTTCCAGGATTTATTGTGGACTGTTGTTGATATATGCTGTACAGTAACCAACAAAACGTGTCGAAACTGAACTGAACCTTGTGTAGAATGAAGAAAAAAAAAGAGCAAAAAACAAACAAAACAATTCCACACACAAACACTTACCACGAGCATTGTTACTCATTTTGTAATATATTAGTCTTTATTTTCATTTTTTGTAAAACTTAAAACATCATATGTGCATAAAGGAAGAAAAAAAAAGAAAAAAAGAATCGAGAATTAGGGGGAAATAACATTTTCCAAATAATTATTAAAAAAAGAAAATTGTCCTGTGTCTATGTATCTATATCTGTTTTGTATTTTTTTCTGGTTCCAAACCAGGTTTCCTGTGATTCTATACTAATAATTTTTGATATAACCCTTTGCTTCTTATAATGAGTGCGATATATGTTGTCGAAGCTGTTCTTCAAGAATTAAAATTGAAGTGAGAATTTAAACAAAAATAAAAGAATTTAGGAAAAAAAATCAACTTATCACCCCACAACCCATGAGTCTTGTTGCTTGAAATACGCCAACAGTTTACCAGGAAAAAGAAAAAAAAAATCTCGAAAAAGAGAGAAAAGACACAAAACCCAAACCATACTCCCTGTTTTTTTTTTAAATTCCTTTACCTATGTTAAAAGGAAGAGGTTAAAAACAGCTTGTGAGGGGTCACCAAGCTGTGGAAAGCACGTGGTGTTCCAAGACTTGGCTTGGCTGTGCAAGCATAGGGCTGAACGCTGAAGGCCTAGGCCATGGTGTGGTGCCTTACTGGGACCACATGGCCCACGGGCCCCATCCTGCTGGCCAGCCCTTTGTGGAAACACATTGTCCCATCAGCTGGGGATGCTTCAGCTGTATTCACATCTTGCTGCTTGCTGTTGGGCACCATGGGGCAATGGATTGAAGTTGCCGTATGCCTCCACTGTTTCGTGTGCAGGGGGAGGCATATTTAGCCAGGACTCTCCTGTTCTTGTTGATTGCTTTCCCCTTATGGGGGATCAGGGTGGGTGGGTCTTCTTCCTTTATTTATTTTTTTTTTTTTTTTGCTTCTTTCCTCTTCTTTTCCACCACAGGGACCCACAGACCCTGGTGGTGTGTGCTCTGGTGTGCATGCCTTGCACTTGCTGCCAGCTGAAACATCCCTCTCGCTCTTTCTCCTGACTCTAGTTGCTGCGCACGAAGGGTATTCCCAGCACATTAATATAGAAATCCAACTGGATGCTCGCTCATTGGGTGGTGAGCTAGCACATTCCATGTGCCACAGCCACACGTAAAACATAGGCTGCAGCCCCCCATGTCATGGGCACCCACCACAGGGTTCCCAGCTCAGAACCCAAAGCCCTGCTTCCTTTTGGCTCATCTTTTTTTTTTGGAAAGAAAAAACCAAAATTCTTTTCTCTAATAGACCCCCTTTGAAGGTAAAGGCTTCACAATGCTTCTAGCTGGTGGTACGAATCTCCGTAACAGCTTTCAGTGCATTAATGTTTTATAGGATCTGAGACAGAGCTGTAAGAACACATACTATCAAGGGAGCTCTTTCTTAACATATTAATAAAGCTGGATCTTTAAAAATAACATTCTACCCCTCATGCAGGCACTTCCTGTGCCCCCCAGACAAGCCTGGATGAGGCAGGCTTTTCAGTTTGTGGAGTCATGGGCAATGTTTTCCTTTTAATTTGCTGTCCTCCATACTCTCCTTCTCTCTCTCTCCCCATCTCTCTCCGTTTTTGTTTTTTTTTTTTTTCTTTTCTTTGCATTAACAAGATACTTCAATCCAACTCGCTTGGGGTTTTTAATATTCTAGGCGCAGCAGATCCGAGGCGAGAACAGTTCTATACAGTAGGCACTTATAGCTGGATAATCAACACTGTGGGCAGATCCTCTATGGGGGCAGAGCCCATTTCTGGATGGAGAAGCAGCTTGTATTCATGGGTGCTGGGGTGGGGTAAGGGTGCACAGATGATTCCAAGACCTGGGCACAGAAGGAGGAGAATTAGACAGGCGGGCACACAGACAGACAGACGCCCACCTTTTTCCCCCTCGCATGGACGCTGCATAGGCGACAGCTTTGTTCCTCAACCGTTTTGTCTTCTCCAGGCAGAAGGGTTCCAGCAGCCCTTCCGTGCTGCCAGGAAGAGCAAGCAGGGATTTTCAGCCCTGGAAGGTGCTTGGAAGAAGCTCTTCAATATTGCTTTTTTTGGTGGGATAGGTGACTGGGGACCCAGCTGAGTTAGCAGTTAAAGCTAACAGACAGATCAAACAACAAAAACCGCAACAAAATAAATAATTAAAAAAAATCAAAGAAACAGAAAAAAACCCACAACAAAAATAATAAACAAAGTAAATGGGGATATTGGCAGAGAAAGACAGGTCTTGGTTTCTTCCAATGAGATGTAAATATATTCATTACAGTGTTATCCTACTGATGAAAACAGACAAACTTTTTCTTAGGTCAGAAACGTATTTTTCAATTAATTTTCATATTTATGAGTAATAATAACCCATCGATTGCCAAGAAACTTGCAGGTGTAGAAGAGGTGTACTAGGTGCACTTCCGTGTATGTGCCTAGAAAGAAGTGTTTCAATCCCTTATTAAACTCTGCTTACAAGACGTGTTCTGAAGTGTTAACTACCCAGTCTGCAGTTGTGTTGGTGGATATTTTGCTTTGCCATGCTCCAGCCTCTCGGGCTTTCATACAGCAGCTAAAAATACTGGTATAATCGCGCCACCGAATGCTATTTGATCAAAACAAACCGAAACAAGCAAACAAAAAAAGAAAATAAAAAATAATCTGTGAATGTGGAGAGGGGCCGGGGTCCCTCCCCAGGTTTCTGCTAACTTGTTCGTTACAATATATTGTTTCAAAACCAGCCCAGCTACATCTCTTCTGCCTTGTTGTCGCCGGGGGGCTCCTGGCCCCTCCCAAGTCCCTCAGGGCGGGCTCTGTAGGGCATCCCCTTCCATTCCTGAATCCCTGCATCCCTCCTGCTTCAGGGCTTCGCTGCCGCTCCGTGCCCACCAACCGCTGCTTGCAGCTCCAAGGTGGGGGGTGGGTGGGGGGTGGCAGGGGGGGAGAAGGAGGATTTGGGGAGAGGATTTGGGGAAGGGGGCGACCCTCTTACCTCAGCCCCGCGCAGGGGGCCCGCTCAGGGCACGGCAGATACAAAAGCCCCCACACCTCTTAGCTCCTCGCTAACTAGCTTGCCTCCTCCCACCGCCCAATTAGGCCTTTTCTATATATTCAGTTGAATAAATATTTGGAAATGCTGCTAAGTGGTAGGTTGAACCCGTGCTGAGGAGGTGGGGGGGGTGTTGCAGGCAGTGGCGGTGGCAGGGGCAGAGCAGGGGCTGGAGTCGCGCCCCCTCCACCCTGCCATCCGGCTTCCCGGAGAGGAGAAGGGGCTGCGGAGCCCTTTTCCTGGGACTTCTCTACAACACCACACCCCCGCGGCGGGGGGGGGGGGGGGGGGCACCGTTTGGGCAGCTTAACCTCCATTCACCCCTCAAACTCACAAGGGAGTGTGATGAGCCCACTCCTAGAGAGGACGGGGGGGAAATGGGTGCCCAGACTTTCCCCAGACCCCTCTAAACCAGGCAGAACTGGGGGCCGTGGGATGCCATTAGGAGTGGCCTTTCCCATCTACACCGCTGGAAACGCCTAGGCGCAAAAGACCCTTTCCCTGAGAGGTACGGGGCGGGGGGAGTCTCTTTTGTGGAAAGCTCTGGGGTCATGGCCAGTGGCAGCAGGAGTAACACAAGAAAAAGTGCATTTTGCCTTGCTTTAAGCCCAGGAAACTGTTTGTGTCCCCACACAAAGAGACAATCGTATTTGTATCCGAAGGAATAGGATTAATAGATCCTCTGGTTTTATTTTTTTTATTTTTTGTGTTTGTTTACGTGTTTTTTTTAATTTATTTAAAGTACCTGTGGGGTATATTAGCTAGGCACCCCCTTCCCAACAGGCAGCAGACATGACCCGCTGCCGAGGGACGCGCAGGCAGCTCAGGCAGCGCAGGCAGTGACAGTGGCCTGGACGGACCCTACTAGGGACGGACAGAGGGACAGAGAGTGGGAGGAGGGCCAAGGGCTTGCTGCAGCCGCCCCACCGGCAGCGTCCACGCACGGAGCTGCTCGCAGGCGATGTGCACTGTTGCTACAGGCAAACCAAAGTGCTTCCTCTGGTCTCATGGGGCGTTTTGACTATTCAAAGCGTTGGTTTTGAAGTCTTGAAATAGCGAGTTTGGGGATTTTGGGGTTTTCCCCTTACTCCCCTCCTCCGTATCTTTACCCTGCCTTTTTCACTGAGAGAAGCAGGAATCGGTTCCCTCGCCTTTCCCCACTTTTCTTCCTCTTTCTTTACATCTTGGGCTAATTTCAGAAACAGCGTGACCTCCTCAAAAACTGTCTATACATTTGTTTTAAAAGGCTCCCTTTCTAATGGGCTTCACAGTCACTGACTTTGACGTGATATTGTTGGAGTTTGGGGTTTTAATCCCTAGTGGGTCAGATTGGCTGAGGATGAATGTCCTGCAGTGATTCAGGAGCGCAGCAAGAGTGACAAATAGATACATTTCCAATCCACAGCTCTCGACTGCCATGGGCAGACCCCTGGTCCGGTTTGCAAACCTGACAGGTTTCCCGGCACTGATGAGGGGGAGAATCCCTCCTATGAGAGAGCGTTTCCGAGAGAAAACAAGAATAAAATTAAAGAAAGAAAAGAATAAAAAAAAAAAAGAGGAAGATAGTGGAAGAGAGTGGGAAAGAGGGAAAGGAGAAGAGAAATAAAAAAAAGTAAAAAAAAAATTAAAAGAAACAAAAAAGAAAAAAAAACAAACACCAAATCCAGAGGCGTGAGGAATGAGGTGAGTGAGGGGGGAGATGCGAGAGCACAAGTGGAAACTAATAAAACTCTTGTTAAAGCGCTTGATCAGGAACCATGGCGTCACCAGGTCTTTTACTTAGGAAGCCAAGGAGTTTTATTCCTAAATGAGTTAAAGAGCCATTTACCTCTGTCGTGTTCTATTCATCAAGCCACAAGTCGAGAGTCCCTAACATGAAACTATTTGTTTGCTTACACAACCAGCTGGGTGCAATTTCACGTCTGAGATATCTATCTGAAAGCGCCTCTCATTTATTATCCTTACTTGTCAGCGAATCTATTTTCCAACTTTTTTTTTTCTTTTTTCTCTCTCTCTCCCCCCCCCCCCCCCCCCCGCCCCCTTCCTCCTTCTTTTATGGAAGGCTGTGAGTTTAAATGCTCCCTTAAATATTTCAGCTCCTACCCCTTCTACCCTCTGATCACCTTCAGCATAAAATAGCTGGGAAATAAGCCTGAAACTGCAGGGGTGGGTAAATCGACCACTTTGCAAGGCAACCCCTTCATTACAGCTCCTGCCCACCTCTCTCTGTCTCCCAAAGCCTGTGTGACAATGTTTTGGGGTTCCCCCCTCCCGTCGCCCTTAGATTTAAGTGAGGGCATCTCCACTGGGCATATTCCCCTG